ATTGTTTTCAAAATGTTTTGACTATTCTAGTTCTCCTGATTTCCTTTATAAATCTTAAAATAAGCTAGTCTATAACTACAAAAAATCTTACTGGAATTTTTATAGAAACTGCATTATACCTATAGTTTAATTTGGGGGAACCAAAATTATATTCTATACATCTAACCTACAGAAATTGCATTAGATCTATAGGTTAATTTGGGGGAACCAACATCTTTACCACATTGACTCCCATCCATAAATATGGTATGTCTCTCCATTTATTTAGATCTTCTTTGAATACTAACAACAACATTTGTTTTCAGCATACATATCCTGTACATGTTAAGTTCATACCTAAGTAAACTCATACAATGAATAACACCCTTTTGGTCAATAATAAACAACATATAAACCAATGGTCCCCATAAGATTATAATATCATACTTTTATTGTATTAAGTACCTTTTTTATATTTATGTATGGTTTTATTTTTTTGTTTTTGTTTTTTTGAGACAGTCTTGCTCTGTTGCCCGAGCTGGAGTGCAGTGGCGCAATCTTGGCTCACTGCAACCTCCGCCTCCCGGATTCAAGCAATTCTAGTGCCTCAGCCTCCTGAGTCACTGGGATTACAGGCATGCACGCCACCATGCCCAGATAATTTTTGTATTTTTAGTAGAGACGGGGTGGTTTCACCATGTTGGCCAGGCTGGTCTCAAACTCCTCACCTCAAGTGATCACCCACCTCAACCTCCCAAAATGCTGGGATTACAGGTGTGAGCCACAATGCCCAGCCAGCATTTAGATATGTTTATATATACAAATAGTTGCCCTTGTGTCATAACTGCCTAGAGTAACATGCTGTGTAGGTTTGTAGCCTAAGAGTAATAGGCCATACAATATGGCTAGGTGTGTAGTAGGCTATACCACCTAGGTTTGTATAGGTACACGACTCTATGATGTTCACACAACAACAAAATCACCTTACAATGCATTTCTGAGAACATATCCTTGTTGTTAAGCAATGCACAACTGTATTTCAATTCTTTTGGGTTGTTATGCAATCCACAACTGTATTTCAATTCTTTTGGGAGAGACTGTACATGGCATTGTGTTTTTAATTTCAGTTTCCATATGTTCATTGCTAGTATCTACAAATACAAAATTCTGTGTGTTGATCTTATATCCTGTGACCTTACTCCACTCACTTATTCTAGGAGTTACTTGGTAAATTCTTGGTATGTTCTATTGGAGAATCACATCATCTGCAAAAAAGAACAGTTTTATTCTTCCTTTAGCTCATACGCCTTTTATTTTTTTCTCAACTAACTGCACTAGCTAGGACTTCCAGTATTATGTTGAATGAGACTGGGAAGAGCAGACATCCTTGCCTTATTTCCCCATTCTCAGGGGGAAAGCATACAGTGTTTCACCATTTAATATGGTGTTAACTGCAGCATTTTTGTAGATGTTCTTTATCAAGTTGGGGGAGTTTCCCTTTACTCCTAGTTTGCTGAGAGTTTTTATTATGAATGGTGTTGAATTTTGTCAATTTTCTTCATCAACTGATCTGATTATGTGATTTGATTTTTTCTCCCATAGTGTTGATATCATGGATTACACTGATATTCAAATACTGAAGTGGCCTTGCACATCTGGAATAAACCCCACTTGGTCATAATACACAATTCGTTGCATAAGTCGCTCGATTGTTTTGCTAATACTTTGCTGAGGACTCTTTTGTCTATGTTCTTTAGGGATATTGCCCTGTAGTTTTCTTTTATGTACTATCTATCTGGTTTTAGTATTAAAGTAATACTGGCCTCATAAAATGAATTAGGACACATACCTTCCTCTTCTATTTTCTGGAAAAGATTATGCGGAATTGGTGCTAATTCTTCTTTAAAGGTTTGGTGGAAATTATGACAGAAAAGCTCTAGGCCTGGATTTCTTTTTTGGAAACGTTTAAATGACAAATTCAATTTCTTTAACAGTTATAGGACTATTGACATTATTTAATTTTGGGTAAAGTTTGGTAGTTTGTGGTTTTCAGGGAATTCGTTCGTTTCATCTAAGTTGTCAAATGTATGTGCATAGAATTGTTTTTAGTATCCTCTTATTGTCCCTTTAACAGCTGCAGAATCTGTAGTGATATCACCTGTTTTATTCCTAATATGGTAATTTATGTCTTCTCATTCATGTTTGCCTGTCTTCTTAGAGGTTTATCTACTTAATTGACCTTTTTGTTTTATTAATTTTGAGACAGAATCATATTCTGTCACCCAGGCTGGAGTGCAGTGGCACAATCACAGCTCACTGCAGCCTCAACCTCCCAGGCTTAAGTAAGACTCCTGCCTCAGCCTTTCGAGTAGCTGGGACCACAGGCATGCACCACCATGCCCAGCTAATTTTTGATATACATATATATTTTTTTGTAGAGACAGTGTCTTGCTATGCTGCCCAGGCTGGTCTCAAAGTCCTGGGCTCAAGTGATCCTTCTACTCCTGCTTCCGAAAATGCTGAAATTACAAGCATGACCCACTGCACCCGGCCGATTGGTCCTCAAAGAACTGGGTTTTTCTTTGATTTTCTCTGTTGTTTTTCTGTTTTCACCTTCAATGATTACTGCTCTTATCTTCATTATTTCCTTCATCTGCTTGCTTTGGGTTTACTTCACTTTTTCTAGTTCATTGAGGTAGGATCTTAGGTTATTGATTTGAGAACATTCCTCCATTCTAATATAAACATATGCTATAAATTTTCCTCTCAGTATTGCTTTAGCTGTATCCCACACATTTTATTATGTTATATGTTCGTTTTGATTCAGTTCTATGTATTTTTAAATCTTTTTGAGACTTCTTCTTTGACCTGTGGATTATTTAGAAGTGTGTAATTTGATTTCCACGTGTTTGAAGATTTTCTTATCTTTCTGTTATTGACTTCTAGTTTGATTACTTATGATCAAATAACACATTTTATATTATTTCAATCTCTTTAAATATATTGAGGTTAGTTTTATGACCCAGGATATGGTTTAACATGGCACATATTTCATGGGTAATTAAAAAGAATGTGTTTTATGCTGTTTCTGTGTAGGATAGTCTGTAAACATCAATTACAACTTCTTGGTTAATTATGTTGTTCAGGCCTTCTATATCCTTGCTGATTTTCTGTTTAGTAGTTCTGTCAAGTGCTGAGAAAGAGATGCTAAGTTGTCAAGTATAACTGTGTACTTATCTATTTTCCAGTTCTATTAGGTTTTGCTTCATATATTTTGCAGCTCTGTTGCTTGGCCCATACACATTTAGGACTGCTACATTTTCTTGGTGGAATGACACTTTTTGTCCTTCTTTGTCCCTGGTAATTTTCTTTGCTCTTTGGTCTACCAAAGATACTATACATAGTCACTCCTGCTTTTTAAAAATTGTTATTTGCATAGCATATATTTTTCCACCTTTTACTTCCAGCATGCCTGTATCAATATATTTGAAGTGAGTTTCTTACAAATAGCATAAAGTTTTTTTTTAATTTATTATCTCTATTTTTAATTGGTATACTTAAAACATATATTGACATTTTAGGGCTTAGGCCTACCATTGTATTATTTGTTTTCTGTTTGTTCATTCTGTTTTTCATTGTTTCCTTTTTCTTGTCTTCCTACGGTTACATGTACATTCTTTAGAATTTCCTTTTATTTATAGTGAGTTTTAGTGTATCTCTTTGTATAGTGTTATTTTTAGTGGTTTTTAGGGTGTTTTAGTTATTACAATATACATATTTAAACTTATCACAGACTATGTGAATCAACATTTTCCTATTTCAGTGAAGTGTAAAAACCTTACTTCCAGTTACATTCTTTTACATCCTCTCCACCTCTTAAATACAATTTTCTTACCTATTACCTCTATATATATTGAATACCACACCAGATGATGTAATTTTTGCTTCAACCATCAAACATGTTTTTAAAAATTAATGATACAGGCCAAGCACGGTGGCTCACGCCTGTAATCCCAGCACTTTGGGAGGACAAGGCAGGTGGATTACTTGATGTCAAGAGTTCAAGACCAGCCTGACCATAATGGTGAAACTCTGTCCCTACTAAAAATAGAAAAATTAGCCAACCGTGGTGGTGCACACCTGTAATCCCAGCTACTCAAGAGGCTGAGGCAGGAGAATCGCTTGAATCTGGGAGGCAGAGATTGCAGTGAGCCGAGAATGTGCCACTGCACTCCAGCCTGAGCGACCGAGCAAGGTTCCATCTCAAAAAAAAAAAAAAAAACCAAAAATTAATGATACATACCCTATACTTGGCCTATTATACATACTCCCTACTTTTACCTATTTGCTGTTTTCTCCTTTCCAAAATTCCAAACTTTCTTCTGTTACCATTTCTTTTATGTTTAAAAAAATTTTTGTTAGGCATTATTTAAGGATAGGTCTGCTACTGATAAATTCTCTTAGTCTTCCTTCATCTGAGAAGGATATTCATATTCATCTCTTCATTCCTTAAGGATATTTTCACCAGACAGAGAATTCAGAGTTAATCATTCTTTTCTTTCAGCCCTCGAAAATGTTGTGCACTTCCTTCTGGACTCCATTATTTTGTATGAGAAATACACTGTCATTCAAATCATTCTTCCCTGTAAGTAAAATGTCATGTCTCTCTTGTTGCATTTTATTTGCCTTTTATTTTTAGAAGCTTGATTATGATATATCTTGGCATGGATTTCTTTAGGTTTATCCTGTTTGGGTTTTGCTCAGCTTCTCGATTCTGAAGATTTATGCCTTTTGCCAAATGTGGTGAGTTTTCAGTCATCATTTCTTTCAATACTGCTTATTATCATAACCTTACCTTCTCCTCCTGGAATACTGATGACACAAATGTTAGATCTGATGTTACTGCCCCATAGGTCTCTGAGGCTCTGTTCATTTTTTTTCAGATTATTTTCTCTCTGTTGTTCGGAATAAGTAAATTTCATTGATCCATTTTCAAGTTCACTGATTCTTTCCTCTGTCATCTATTATTGAGCTCATCTGGTAAGCTTTTTAACTTGTTTATTTTTTGGTTCAATAACTTCCATTTTTTAAAAACCCATTTATTGCCTTCCTTTCGGCCGGAACCGCCATCTTCCAGTAATTCGCCAAAGTGACGAACACAAAGGGAAAGAGGAGAGGCACTCGATACCTGTTCTCTAGGCCTTTTAGAAAACATGGAGTTGTTCCTTTGGCCACGTATATGCAAATCTATAAGAAAGGTGATATTGTAGACATCAAGGGAATGGGTACTGTTCAAAAAGGAATGCCCCACCACAAATGTTATCATGGCAAAACTGGAAGAGTCTACAATGTTACCCAGCATGCTGTTGGCATTGTTATAAACAAACAAGTTAAGTGCAAGATTCTTGCCAAGAGAATTAATGTGTGTATTGAGCACATCAAGCACTCTAAGAGCCGAGATAGCTTCCTAAAACGTGTGAAGGAAAATGATCAGAAAAAGAAGGAAGCCAAAGAGAAAGATACCTGGGTCCAACTGAAGCAACAGCCTGCTGCACCCAGAGAAGCACACTTTGTGAGAACCAATGGGAAGGAGCCTGAGCTGCTGGAACTTATTCCCTATGAATTCATGGCATAATAGGTGTTTAAAAAAAAAATAAAAGACCTCTGGACTGTAAAAAAAAAAAAAAAAAAAAAAAAAAAAACATTTATTTGCTGAGATGTTCTAATTTTTCATTCGTTTCAAAAGTATTTGAAATTGCTTATTAAAGCACCTTTATGACAGATGCTTTAAAACCTTTGTCAGATAATTCTAACATCTGAGTCTTCTCAGTATTAGTATCTATTGATTGGCTTTTCTCATTCAAGTTGTGATTTTCCTGGTTCTTGGTATGGCAAGTGATTTTTTAAATTGTATCTAGGGCATTTGGGTTATTATCTTACAAGACTCTAAATACTATTTAAATTTTAGCAGGCATTAACCCTATTGAGGCCAAGTATGCACATCCTGGGCTACTTTTGTGTGCTGCAGTTTTAATGGTAGTTTAATTTCAGAGCCCTTGCAGTACTATTCTGGTCTGCTTCATCTCTTTTACTTAGAGGCCATTCTGAAAACCTGGGTGATATTCCATGTTAAAGTTTCTATTGCTTAACTTTTTGGCATGTTTGTTCTAGTCAGATTCACATGTAGGTGGGTTAGGAGTTGTTTGCCCAGGACTTCTAATGCAGGCAGGGAATATCCCTTTAATGAATTCCTTTCTTCAGCTACCCACTCTACAAGATTTTCCCCATTTTCTAGTGGGGAGGGGGAGCTGCCTACCACTGCTGAGTGGAAGGATGGTGAATCCAGAATCCCCAGTAGGTCTCCACTGACAACATTCCAGCAGATGAATGGATTGCTGCCATGGGGTTACCTAAAACAACATCCATTTATTATCTCATAGTTCTGTAGGTCAAAAGTCCTGGTAGGCTCAACTGGGTTCTTTGTTTACTCAAGGTCTCACAGGCCAATATCAGGACATCAATAGACCAGACTTTTATCTGGAAGCTTGGGAGACTAAGCCATGTCCAAATTCACTCAGGTTGTTGGCAGAATCCAGTACCTTGCAGCCGTAGGTCTGAGGTCTCCATTTCTTTCCTGACTGCCAGCAGGTCTACTCTCTGCTCCTATAGGCTGCACATATTCCTTCTCACATGACCCCTCCATCTTCAAAGCAGCAAGTCCTCCTCTGACTTTCTCTTCTGCCACTAGACAGGAGAAATTTCTCTGCCCTTAAGGACTCATGCTAGGCCCACCTCCCTGTTTAAAGATCAATTGTGCCATATAACATAACACAATCTCTGAAGTGAGAGCTCATCACATGTACAGATTGTGGGGACTTACGAGTAGAATTTGAGGGACATTCCTAGAAATTGTGCCTACCTCACTACCACCAGGTAGAGAATGGGACGGAGTTAATTATTGAGTCCAGAAGTTCTGCAATTAGAATGTATTGATTATCTTTGGGGTTTTGTTGGTTGTTGTTTGTTTGTTTGTTTTTTGAGACAGAGTCTCACTCCATTGCCCAGGCTAGAGTGCAGTGGCACAATCTCGGCTCACTGCAACCTCTGCCTGCCAGGTTCAAGCGATTTTTGTGCCTCAGCCTCTAAGTAGCTGGTACTACAGGCATGGGCCACCATGCCTGGCTAATTTTCATATTTTTAGTAGAGACAGGTTTCACCACGTTGGTCAGTCTGGTCTCGAACTTCTGGCCTAAAGTTATCTGCCCGCCTTGGCCTCATAAAGTGCTGGGATTACGGATATTAGCTGCCACACCCAGCCAGAATGTATTAATTCTAATGGACTTAAATTGAGCACTGTTTACATATCACTATGTTCTCTGTGTGTTTGTAGTAAACTTTTAAAATAATTTTCAGCATGCTTGTGTTTCCTTATATATTCACTAATATAGCCATTAATACTTTATTCATAAAGTTACTTTAGAAATAAGATGAAAATATTTTTCAAATTGAAGTCACCAGCTACCAATCCATGTTCTTGAGAAAAGATACTAGACTTAAAAAGATGGTACTACCCTATCGGTACATTGTCCAAAATGAATGCCCAAGCTTTATCAAGCAGCAGAATCACCTGAATTTTTTTTTTTTTTTTTTTTTTTTTTGAAATGAGGTTTTGTTCTTGTTGCCCAGGCTGGACTGCAATGGTGCAATCTCAGCTCACGGCAACCTCCGACTCCCAGGTTCAATCGATTCTCCTGCCTCGGCCTCCCCAGTAGCTGGGATTACAGTTATGCGCCACCACACCCAGCTATTTTTGTATTTTTTTAGTAGAGACAGGGTTTCTCCATGTTGGTCAGGCTGCTCTCGAACTCCCAACCTCAGGTGATCCGCCCACCTTGGTCTCCCAAAGTTCTCAGATTACAGGCATGAGCCACTGCACCTGGAAGAGCCCTGTAATTCTTATGAGTTTTCTGCAACTCCATTTATTTTATTTTGTTCTTACTAGGGAACACAAAACAATTGGTCAAGCACCCGGCCACTTGAACTTTCAAAAAGATTCTAAGGCTTCTATCCCTACTCCTGACCCCACCAGAAAATGCTAATGATGCAATGCACCTGGACCAGGTTAGAGACACACTGACATGGAGTCGCTGTGGGAGCCCCAAGCTTTACAAGTTTAAATATCCAGTAATGATCACAGTGGAATCCCAGATGGTTTATATTTTGATCTGGTAGAAAGCTAAGAGTTAAAAGACATGATCTTAAAGTCCCTTTCCAAGCTAAGATTCTATAATCTTGCCATTAAGAAAATAAAATTCTATGAAGCATAATCACCACGATCAACTCAGTCGGGGACTAAAACTCACCGAGGTCAGAGCTCTCCCTGAGTCACAAGACTGTCCCACTCCACCACATTTTCTGCACTACAACAGTTACAAAGCCTGAGGAAACCGCCAAATGATGTGGGTTCTTACTGGCAACACACTCGTACTTAATTACTCCAGACCCTACTTGGAATAACATTTCTCACAACAGAATCTAACAGGTTCCAGTTGTTAGGTTTAGAAACTGTTTTTCTGAAAGAAAACTGTATGTTTAAAGTTTCAAGAATAATTCGAGGCTAGAATCGGTTGGTTTTGAGGGCCTAGTTTATGAGAAACAATTGAATAGTCACACGTCTTGATTATTTACCACTGATAAAAAAGACAGTCAAGCTCCTTCTAGAAAGCATAGCCTGAACACTGCAAAATTACAAGTTTGCTTACAAATTAATAATAATGAAATATTTTCCCTAATTGCCTTAATTTCAGAATTTGTAGGAAAAACAGTACAAGCCCATAAATCCAGGCAAAGGTTGTTCTTCAGAGTTGAAATAGCCAACTTTTGAAGAGAATTCCTTAAAATGCAGACAGAAATAAGTTAAATACCATGATTCCACCTCACTGGACACTTGGGGAAGGCATAATACAGCAGACAATAATAGTGAGGAACGCAGTCCTATCAAGACAATTCAGACACCCAGATAAAGCTGCCCACTTGAGCTCAGCTTGCAGAGCCTGCTGGCCTGGATTCCAATGCGCTCTCTGCTCCTCACTAGCTTGTGTGACTGTGGGTATGGCCTTTAACACTGATATGTCTGTTACCTCTTCTGAAAAATATCCATGATAAAAAAAGTACCTATGTCATAGAGTGGTAGAAGAATTTAATGAGATATAAAACATGGAAAGGGGCTGGGCATGGTGGCTCACGCCTGTAATCCCGGCACTTTGGGAGGCTGAGGCAGGTGGATCACTTGAGACCAAGAGTTTGAGACCAGCCTGGCCAACATGGCAAAACCTCGTCTCTGCTAAAAATATAAAATTAGCCAGATGTGGAGGCGCACGCCTATAATCTCAGCTACTCAGGAGGCTGAGGCACAAGAAATGCTTGAACCCAGGAGGCAGAGGTTAAAGTGAGCCCAGATTGCACCACTGCACTCCAGCCTGGGTGATAGAGCAAGACTCAATCTCAAAAACAAACAAACGAAAAAACATGGAAAGGGATTAGCCTCCTTCCTGCCTGGTATACAGTAAGTGCTTAACAAATTTTAGTTACTATATACAGACAGACATGGGTAGATTATATATACAATGTCAGGCAGCCAGTAAGCCTTGAATAAAATGCAGCCATTATTACTCCATAAAGTAACACAGCCATCAGGGCCAAAAAGCTAACCGTAGGTTCATTTAGCACATTCTAACAGTTGCTGGTTGAATTCAGCCAGAAAATTCTCAAGTGGCATTTTAATCTGGAACACCTTTACAGAATTTTTTTATAGAACAATGTTTAAAGCACAGAATTCCCCAAGGCAGGTCACAGGAGCTAAAACTACCATCCTCTAGGAGTCACATTAGTGACAATATTCCATTCAGTCTGTCTCATTGGTGTTTACATCCTCTGGTGCCTAACACACAGCAGATGCCCACATGCCCAAGGACACCAGGACTAAATGTTGTGAGCAAGATGAAGCTCTGAACATTATAATACATACCTGGGCTGGGCATGGTGGTTCCCACCTGTAACTCTGGTATTTTGGGAGGCCAAGGCAAGAGGATCCCTCGAGCGCAGGAGTTCAAGAACAGCCTGGGCAACATGGTGATATCCCCATCTCAACAACAATTTTGTTTTAAAAAAAGAACCAAGTGAGGTGGTGCATGCCTGCAGTCCCAGTTACTCAGGAGGCTGAGGTGGGAGAATCACCTGAGCCTGGGAAGTTGAGGCTGCAGTGAGCCATGATCACACCACTACACGCCAGCCTAGGCAACGGAGTGAGACACTGTCTCTAAATAAATAAACAAACAAGCAAATCCAGAAAAATTACTGCTACCTTCTGGAGACAAGAATCTTGAAAACAATTATCCATATAATCCACAAAATTAATGGCCCTTGAGTTAAAAGTTTAAAGAAAAGTGAAATGTGATTAAAGAGACCCATGTCAGGGTCTTTGAATGTAGAACAGCAACCTGAAAACCTCTACTTTATGACACTTGTTGAAGTAGATTTGTGATCCCTTCATAAATCAAGAAGAACAAAGTAACTGTGAGCTTTATCTCGAAGTGGTACAATTATGCAAAATATTGGTCTTTTGCCTCATGGATCAAGAAAGAACAACCACATTCACCAACCACTTTACAC